ACCAAGAGGCTGTAAGTCGGGCACAGATTTATTGTTGCAATTGCGTCCATAAAGCACAATACAAGAGGAATATTTTAATACACTCAGCAGTCTGTTCTTTTAAAAGATTCATATATAAATTGATCTGATCCTATCTAACCTACTCTGATAAAGCTAAACCTGCATTTCTCCTGGCTTTTACCCTCCATTCTGAAATGGGAGCAACAGTAAAAAGGATTGGCTTTATAGTTCACTCTATCATCCAACCAGAATACCAACTATTAATAACAAACTATGCCTCACCGCTAATGAGAGTCCCATAGCACAGTGGTTAGCGCGCTTAATGACATAAGAATTTGCTAGGCAATAAATTGCATTGCCTTGCCTCACAAGCGAGAAGACCCAGGTTCGATTCCTAGGCGGTGTGAAACCTTAGGCAAGTTTCCTTACTTCACACACCTCTGTTTACCTCGCGGTAAGTTGATGCTCAAAATAAAAAAAACTGTTTGTGGGACACTGTTGTGCGCAATTCGTTGCCGCATTTCACTCACAAAATACACAATCATTCCACTTTACAATATATTTTATGAAGCACTTTAAGACGTCTCATCTCAACCGCTATATCAAATGCAAGGACTATTATTACTAAGATTTGAAACTCTTCTAATGAACAAACCAGGAGAGATCAGCTAAACTCCTGTAAATTGCATGAAATTATTAGGAAGAATTTGATGCCAAATTATACTTAGGATCTCATCACATCCCATGTGTAAACGTATGTGTACCATGCAATATGTCAGCTTGACTTAGCTGGTAGCACTCTCACTTCAAATTCAGAATGCTCTGGGTTCAAGCTCCACATCAGGACTTTGAATTCACAATTTTGCACTCCAATGCAATGCTGTATTGTTGGCGATGCCATCTTTTGGATGAATGTTAAACTGAGGCCCCTTCTGCCTGTTCAGGTGGATGTTAAAGATCTCGCAACACTACTCAAAAGTAGTTTCTCCTTAAGCCCTGGCATACAATCCCCCAAATAAATTTGTCATTTACTTCATGCCTGATTTTGGAATAATGCTGTGTGCAAATTGGCTGTTGTGTTAGCCTATGCACAAAATAGACAGCAAATATACTTGACTATATATCCTGTGGAAAGCTTTGCAACATTCTCCTAATGGGAAAGGCTCAATACCAAACTCAAGATTCATCATCATCATTTGTGTGCACAGATAGCATTACAGGTATCCTAAATTATGTAATTTACATTTGTCTGTTAATTACACCAATAATTCCCTGTTTACACATGGTACATAACACGGGTGTAATTCATTCCATTGTTTGGTGTAGAAGGGAAGAGCTCGATAATTTTAATGGGGCAAACAATTAAAATGCCATATAATGTTCAGCAGCTGGCAAATCACAATTATCTGCTTTGTTGAGCAGGCTGAACAAGAGTAAAAAAAATATTTGTAAATTAAAGTAGAACTGAAATATTTCAAAAATACTAAGCTGTGCAGTAATGAAGCAGTATTGCGGCACCTATGACAAGCCTTAAAGAAGATAGAAATTAAAACTAGTATTGTTTCAACCAATGTTTTAATTGGATGCAGTAAAATTCAGACCTTTTCAAATGCTGAAAACAACCAATAAAACTCCATTATATATCTCTTTCGCTCAGTTCGCAGTCATCTTGCCTCCAGGTGCAAAACCTCTGGCTTCAAACCTCACATCACTGCTTGAGCTGATAATATAGGCTGGCACTCCAGTGCTGGGTTAAGGGGAGCTGCATTGTTGGGAGACAATTTTCCAGATGAGCCTATAAACCAAACTTCCACTTTTCAGGGCAGAAATTCGATGACATGATTTCAAAGAATCAAATCAAAATGGAGGCAGGGTATTGTGTGGGCTTTGTTCTGAAATTCCTTCCATTTCTCGTGTGCGCATGTGTAGATATGACCCAAATTTACAGGATCAGTGCAAGGTGCGGAGGGACAAAAATGAGAGGAGGAAGATCAGTAATGTGAAACAGAAGACACAGCTAAAATATTGCAAAGACTGGCAATATTGCAGCCGAGGTGCACAAGATATGGGCCTAGGCCAAGCAAACAACACAAGCTCAATTCAAAGAATATAACAACAAATCACATTCTCATAGTGTCTTTCACATCGGGAGGACATCCCAAGGCAATGGACAGTCCTGCTTTGCACCCAAGCTGGGGGATGGGATCAGGAAGGTGGAGGGCAGGGGTAGGAGGCATTGTTAAAGAGGAAGGTCTTGAGATGGGACTTGAAGGAGGTAAGAGAGGGAGAGGCAAAGGGACTGGGATGGAGTTCCAAAAGATGGGGCAGAGATGTTGAAAGCCCAACAGCAGATGGAGGGCGGGGGGTGTGGAGCAGTCCAGATTCCGCTGTGTGGGGGTAGTGGACAGGTTGGTACGGGACCCGCATTACTAACTATGCCTTGTTGCTTTAACGAAACAACACTAGGAAATACATTGTACTCCAGGGATGGAACAGAACTTGTTGACCTGTGTTAGTGAACTCATTGCTCATCGTAAGCCAACAGTGTGAGGAATCAATAAATGAGTGTAGTGCTCACGCTCAAGCTGCAAAGTTCAATGGTCAGGATGCACCCAGAGTAACACACATACAGTTCTGGTTGCTATAATATATGGGTGACAGGATTCAATGGTTTAATGAAAGTAAACACTGAACAATGCTTCCATAAACCCTTTTGCAAAGGACAGCATTGTGAGGGGACTTTGAGGACAAACCCGGGAAAGCATTTCTTTACATAGAGGGGTGTCCGGTTAAACCGGAAGGACAGTGAAACCAGAAAGTGGAACTCATCTAAGTAGCAGCTCAATACTGCAATGGTAAGATGGTAGAGCTGATTTATAAGGTCCAAAGTTAGTTGTAGGTAGAAATCTTTGAAAATATTTTTGAAGCAAAGCATAACTTGCTAAATGAGATTTCAGGAAAGGGAGGTCATATTTAACCAAACTGGTGGTAGTGGTGGGGAGGGGGAGGCAGGGAGGTACAGTGGTATTATAGAAATTACAGCTAGGAATACTGAAGTAGATATGTACTGATCATCATCACTGGAATGGAGGTGATAAAACAACAGTGATATTGATTTGTTCAGTGATAGGGAGCCAGCGGAGCCTGGCTAGAACTTGGGTATGCAGTTTAGTGCAGGTGAGTATGGAATTAAATGGATTTTGTGGATAGTGGAGTTGGGGAGACCGGCGAGGAGGGCATTTGAACAGTGTCCTCCTCCCTGTTCTAGCAGAATAGGGTGTAAAGAATGCTGCAGAGCACAAAACTGACGGCGCTATACAAATGTAATTTTGTTGTTGTTGTTTGTTAAGTTGCTGCATTTCAGCAAAAAAAGTAAATCCAAAGCGTGGCATGTTACAAGAAGTGAACAAAAAGGGAGAAAGGTTAATATAAGTCAAGGTTAGAGTTCTTAACCACGGTCTAATCTGACTCTGTTTCTGATCAAAAACCTTCACACTATTCCCTTCCCCACAGTGATGTGTTTCATTACAAAAACGTGAAAAGCAATAATTATATGATTTTTTTTCAATTAGTTCCTTATTTAATTTGACCTTTCGGAATGTCTCTCTTACCCAAAGCAACCTCCTTATTTATCTACCGCCTTCCAGAATGTGCACAGCAGCTTCTTCTAGATCAGCCAGAGAAAGTGCCCTTTCCAGATGAAAGGATTATTATAGCCCAGGCAATCTCCAATTGAGTATACTGTGAGCAAAACCAATGCTCTGACGTAGAATGGAAACAGAATGGAAAGTGCCTCTGGTTGCTCATATGGCAAATTCGTTCACCAAGAGAGGGATCAAAAATCCTGAACACGTCAAATCGAGCGGCACTTTATTCAGTTAGCCTGAATGATTTCAGACATGTACCCAGAATTCCACAATGGCAAATGCTGCAAAGCAAACAACAGGACAGCCACTGGGACACAAATCCCCTGAAACGTTTTGGAGATACCTTTTTGTAATCTTCTCCACCTTCAAACCTGAAGGTGATCCTTAAAAGAGAGCCTCAAATAGGCCATTGAATAAACAAGAAAAGCAAGTTGACATCATGAAAAAAAAGTACAAGCGCCAATGCTGCTTTTCGTAATCACGTTGAACACATTCCTGTAGCCGATCATGTTAAAGGTAGTTAAGAGGGACAGGGGATGCATTGCATTTATAATAATAATTAAATTTTTACTTTGCACTTCTAAATGGAATGAGGAAGCAAAAATACTTAAAGGAAATTCAACTAGTACTATGGGGCTAATAAAATCAGCTGATGCAGCATAGGGAGCACTAGCATCAGTATTGGTGAATAAGTTAGGGTTGGAGAGGAGAATAGAAGGGTATGGGAGGGTGTGAGTTTCCACGCTGCATATTCCTTGTAATTTTTTTGTGAATGTCAGGACTCTCAAAGGCCTTCACAGAATAATAATAATAAAGTAATAATAAGTAATCTTTACTTTTGCTATAGTGCCTTTCAAGTCAGGGGGACCTCCCAAAGTGCAGTGACTGTTTAGTTTAGGGGAAGCATCTCCTGTAAAGTATAGCAATTGTATTTTATAGGCAAACAAAGCAGCCAATTTACACACAGCATTGTCCCTCAATCAGCCATGAAGTGAATTGTCACAAGACCTTAGTCTTGGGAATTACAGCAAGTGGAGGTGAAGGTTTGTGTGTTCACAGACAAGGCAAGTTATATTCAATGCCAGTAGCCAATTTAGGAGTTAGCCATAAATCCAGCAGTTTTCAGTAAAGTGTGAAACAATTGAGAAATTGAATTGAGTTCAACAGTTTCAAGCAGACCATCTGAAAGGGGAGAATCTACAATAGTTGGAAAACATAGTAATCCATAAGGGAGGGCTATATAAATGTAATTTTGTTGTTGTGTGCCACAGGATTCCCTGGATTTTCCCAAGCATTTATTGTTAAGAAAAAAATACTGAAACGGATTACGAGAGATATATGGAGAATACTTACTGTAGTAGCCATATAACACTGTGTCTTCAATGTTCTGTCTTGTAATATTATCTGCTGCCCATTCCTNAAAAAAAGAAGACTTTACATAGATAAAAAAATTACTGTACAAAACCGAATAGGCCACTTGGCCCAATTAGTCCGTGCTGATATAGATATGCCACCTGAGATCCCCTTGCCCATCCTAATCCCCTCTTCCTTACTACTCCATTCCCTTCTTGCTCACACATGCCAAGCTTGCAGGCACTGAATATGGCATAGTCTGGAAAAGCATCCTTTTCAATCTCCTATGCTAGCAAACCAGAGGCTGAGGCGACATAAGAAAACCCACATGGATAAAACAAGATTAATGAATTTAGAATTTAAATGGTTAAATTCAGCAACTAGCAGCTGGCAGATCTCATCAGAAATGAGAGTGTGAGAAGCCTTAAAAGCCTAGCTCAGGCCAGAGAGAAAGATGAATCAAGGAAGGATGACTTCAGTGAACCATAAGAGAGCTTTTGTTGTGTCAAACATTTTTTTTAATAAGGGCTAATTAATCCCCTATGTAGGTCTAGTTATTTCATATTGAGTATAGATTGCTTTGGGGACTTGTTAAGTATGGGTTCATATTGCAATTGGTTCACAAATAAAGACAGCAGATATTTTTGTCGGACTCGTAATATCTGTCGTTTTTAAAGACTGGTGGTGTGAATTATGTAAATTTCTAGTTTGGGGAATAATTACCACTCGGTTACACAGCTCTGTTGGACACAGTCTATCAAGTACCATTAGTGTTTTGTTTCATTCAGAAATTTTTAAAAAGCTTTTAGTCAGTGTCTTTTTTTCCCTTACAAAAACAGGAGAAAATGTCAATCCCCCAAAATACAAGATAAATTCAAAGCATTTGTCTCTCGCATTGGGAAACCTATCTGGGTGCAATGCCAGTCCCATGAATGCGCTCAAATCTGCAACCAATAACAGAACCAGCTTTTGAGCAGATTTACGAGGCCAACATTGCAGCCAGAGGAGTTTCCAGCTGCACTGCGATACCACCTTCATAGTGTATTCACAAGACTGACAATGCACCCAGTGGATTACGGAATATGCTCGAACAAAAATAATAATAAATACTGGATCTAGAGCCTTTCACTTGGGGGATGGCACAAAGCACTTCACAGGATATTCCATAAAGTGCCCAATCTGCATTTTGTGAGTGAACGCAGCAGCCATTTTGAGCGCAGTAATGTCCTGCAAACAGCCATGAAGCGAATGACCAATTTTATTTAGGGGATTATTGGCCAAGACACTGGGAGGGACTACCTTTTCTTTTGAAATAATGCCATCGGATCTTTTAACATTCACCTGAACAGGCAAAAGGAACCTCAGTTTAACACCTGAGCACAGGTGCCAAAAAAATGTTTAAAAGATTCAATTCAGGTGAATTTGTTTTTAAAACCAATCTTAGTCCTGAAAATTTGAATGGATCCAGCATCCACAGACTTTGGGGGAAGAGAGTTTCGGATTTCCACTACCCTTTGCGTGAAAATTAATAGGATTTTTCCTTAAAAAACAGTTTTTAGGACTGATGCATTAAAATCAAAGCCGATTAGTCTAAAGAGGTAAAAATTTCTTCACCATCTATCTTTATTGCTTAAGTCCAATCAAGCAAACAAAAGGACCATGGTTTCTGAAAAATGAACATGAGCTGAGACACCACCGTGTACAGTATAGCTCTTGCCTCTCACTGCCAGTCTCTTTAAATAGCAGATAAATATGGAAAGTAAAATCATTTTGGAGGATGTGGTTTAAGGCATCATATTTTACAACAAAGAACACTGTAGTATTACTCACAGTAAATGGGAAATCTGATTCAAACTATGAATTTAAATTTAACAAAAGGCTTTTATATATCATTTTGTATGTATTGACAAAACAATAAAACCCCAATATAACATGGTTCATTTATAGCATTGGTGATGGTTCAAAACCCCCATTCTATTTTTCTGACAAGTCTGAATACCTTAACATTATTTTCATTTCTCCTCTCTCTTCCCCCCTCCAACCATCTTACCTATCAAATAAACAGCAATGAAATTAGCTTTGTTATTCTATAGGCCAAATCATCTTCACTTGTGCGTGTGTCAGCCTGGCTCAGTCGTAGCACTCTCGCCTACGAGTCAGAAGGTTGTGGGTTCAAGCCCCATAACTGGGTTTGGAATCGCACAGTCTAAGCTGGCACCTCAATGCGGTGCTGGAGCTGTGTTGCATTGTCAGAAGTGCCATCCTTTGGATGAGACATTAAACCGTGGTTCCGTCTGCCTGTTCAGGTGGACGCCATTAAAGATCTCATGGCACTATTCGAAAAGAGAAGGAAGCTTTTCCCGGTGTCCGAGCCAACAAATCCCCCAAACAAATTGGTCACCCATTACATGGCTGTTTGTGGGACATTGTTGTGCGCAAATTAGCTGCCACATTTCGTCCACAGAAATCCACTTTACAGTGAAGGGCTTTGAGATGTCTCGACAATGTGATAAGGCGCTGTATCAAACAAAAGGATTATTATGTTTATTATTATTTCTCTTTTATGGTCGCACAACAATGAGGGAAGGCAACAAATGGAGAAAAGGCAACAAAATAAAATTAAAGAGTTGCCATAATAATAATCCTTGCAATTGATAAAGCACCTGATCGCATAGTTGAGATGACTCAAAGTGCTTCACAGAATATACTGTAAAGTAAATTGGCTGCGTATTTCGTGGGGATAACGTGGCAGCCAATTGCGCAAAGCAGTGTCCGAAAAACAATCGCTGTCTGACACAAACATATAGGCACAGCAGACTCAATGAGGCAAATGGCCTTTTCATAAATCTGATGAAACGAACAGTAAAATAACAATATCTGTACAAACCTTATAAACGCCTTTGGAGTCCTTCATGTACGACACAAGGAATATGTCAACGGGCAGCAATGCTGAAGTGATGAGTGCAACCGCAAGAGCACAAATAGCAGTTATGGTGGAAACAACCTCACTCTCCTGTTGGCTCTGGTAACGACGGATATAGTTCCAGCAGAAAACAAGAATGGCCTGCAAGAGTCAAAGACAAATGAAAATGGAAATGCTGATCTTTAACTCAACCATAATGCCACAAAAAGGTCTTTCACTGAATACAAACTACTGTCTGCTAATGAACAGAACGAATGTATGAAACGCCTTGTCCTGAAATCTACACTGAATTCATGTATAACTAATATTCTGAAAATCTGGCACATGGACTTCAGATTAAGAAACCAGTCCAAAATCAAATTAAAAGATCTTAATATCCAACTAGGGATCCATGGTTAGGGATCTATCTTGTACTTATACAGTTCAAGAAATACACTATTTTTAAAGATTTAGATAAGTCAGTAAGAAACGTTTATTTTTATAGCACCTACCATGTCAAAGGTGCCCACAAACACAGTCAATCCACTTTACAGTATATTCTGTGAAGCGCTTCGAGGTATCTCAACGACGTGATAAGGCGCTATATCAAATGCAAGGATTATTATATATACTATATTATTTCAAAGTCTAAAGCTTTGTGGACACATACTAGAAGCCTGAAGAATTCATAATCAGTGATCAAGCTTCTACGGTAACAGCAAGAGGTAGAGGATAAGCACTGGATTGTTAATAGGAGCACTGATCACATCTGAAAATAGCAATGTGAGGCCAAGAGGAGATATTCGATGAGAACAGATGCGATAAACGCAGCAACACACAAAACCTCAGACTCAATTACTCATCTGCAAAACAGTAATATGTTGCACAAGACTGTCCAGCAACTGTAAAATACTATTACACACACTGCCAATATTCTTTGTTCAGCAGTCTGTGTTAAAGTCACGTAACTGGAATCTTGACAGCAGAAAAGCCAATTATCGTGTTAAGTCAGTGGCACAGGCAAACAGAACAACAAAGTTTTGAAGCTCATTTCTTTTATTTTGAAGCTATGTATATCCCCTGGTGATGCTTCCTCAGAATTGTATCTGTGCTTCAAATGGTATCACTGTACAACAAGTCGTTTCAACACAATATTTACAGTTATAAAAATTCTTTCACATCAGTAGGATGTCCCAAGAAATTCCGAAATACAACGACTAAATTACTACTCACAAGACTTCCATAACATAACATGTAGGAGCAGGAGTAGGCCATTCAGCCCTTCGAGCCTGCCCCGCCATTCAATCATGGCTGATCTTCTAATCTATCTCCAGCTAATAACCTGACCCCATCTTATCCCCATATCCCTTAATCCCTTTTGCAATAAGAAATCTAACACATCGTTGAAATCTATCTAACTTAGTCTTGAATATGTTCAAGGACTGAGCGTCAACAGCCCTTTGGGGTAGTGAGTTCCATACATTCACTGCCCTTTGAGTGAAGAAGTTCTTCCTCAACTTAGTGCAAAAGGGCTGGCCTCTGATTTTAAGGTTGTGAGCCCTGGTTTTAGTTTCTCCAACTGGGGAAACAATCTCCCACTATCTACTCTATCTGCCCTTTGATAATCTTATAGGTTTCTGTAAGATCCCCTCTAATTCTTCTATATTCTAGAGAATATAGGCCCAAATTGGTCACCCTATCCTCGTAACTTATCCCCTTCATCCCGGGTACTAACCTAATAAATCTACGCTGCACCCCCTCCAAGGCAAGTACATCCTTCCTTAAATAAGGAGACCAAAACTGCACACAGTATTCCAGGTGTGGTCTCACCAGGGCCCTATACAGTTGCAGCAAGACTTCCCTACTCTTATACTCTAATCCTTTCATAATGAATGCTAACATACCGTTCGCCTTCCTAATTGCTGCTGCACCTGCAGACTAACTTTCTGTGATTGTTGTACAAGGACACCCGAGTCCCTCTGGACGCTAATACATTCCAATCTCTCCCCTTCTAAACAATAACCCACTCTACTGCTTTTGCTACCCAGGTGGATGACTTTGCACTTCCCTACATTATACTTCATCTGCCCAATCACCTAACCTATCTATGTCTCGCTGCATTTTTTTAATGTCGTCCTCTGTGTTGACACTTCCTCCTAGTTTTGTGTCATCCGCGAATTTAGTTATATAAGCTTCGATGTCCTCATCTAGATCGTTGATGCAGATGGTAAATAGCTGAGGCCCAAGGACTGATCCTTGTGGCACTCCACTAGTCACATCCCGCCAATCTGAAAAGGACCCGTTTATCCCTACTATTTGTTTCCTACCCATTAACCATTCCCCAATCCATGTTAATATGTTCCCCCCCAATTCCATGGGTCCTTATCTTTTGGACTAACCTTTTATGCAGCACCTTATCGAATGTCTTCTGGAAGTCCAAATAGCCACATTCACCCTTATCTAGTTTACTGGAAATGTCCTCAAAAAACTCTATGAGATTTGTCAAACATGACTTCCCTTTTGTAAAGCCATGTTGACTTGGCCTAATTATATTGTGCTCCTCTAAATATCACACTACCACATCCTTAATCAACGATTCTAAAAATTTTCCTATCACTGATGTGAGACTAACTGGCCTATAGTTCCCCATCTTTTCCTTTCCACCTTTTTTAAATAGTGGTGTGACATTTGCGATCTTGCAATCCATGGGGACTGTTCCAGAATCCAAGGAATTTTGGAAGATCAGACACAAGGCCTCCACTATCGCATAAGCTCCCTGTTTCAAAACCCTGGGATGCAAACCATCCGGACCAGGGGATTTGTCACTTTTTAGTGCTAACAGTTTCTCCAGCACCAATTCTCTACTAAAGAAAATTTCCCTAAGTTGCTCCCTGTCCTTATCCCCTTGGTGGATCTCTATTGCTGGCAAACTTGTTGTGTCTTCTCGGGTGAAGACAGAGGCAAAGTACCCATTTAGGGACTCTGCCACGTCCTTATCCCCCAATACAACTTCTCCCGTCTCTGACTGAAGTGGACCTACATTTACCCTCACTCGCCTATTCCTCTTAATGTATTTGTAAAAACTTTTACAATCAGACTTAATGTTCCTAGCTAGCTTACCCTCATACTCCTTTTTCTCGCTCTTAATGAGTTTTTTAGGTTTTTTTTGCTGGTTTCTATAATAATAATCCTTGCATTTGATATAGCGCTTTTCACGTCGGGAGGACATCCCAAAGCACTTCACAGAACACACTGTAAAGTGAATTGACTGAATATTTGTGGGCGAACGCGGCAGCCAATTGCGCACAGCAATGTCCCACAAACAGTCGTAGATTGAAAATGACCAATTTATTATTGTTTTTGGTTTTGGAGGGATTATTATTAGGCTCTGTGTGGAGTAAGGAAACTTGCCCAAGGTTTCGCCCTCTGCCTGGAATGGAACTCGGGTCTCTCGCTTGTAAAGCGAGTGCTCTAACCACTGAGCTACAGGACTCTCTCAATCTTCAGATTTGCTGCTTTTCTTGGCAGTTTTATCAGCTCTTTCTTTTAATTTGATGCTTTCCCTAACTGCTCTTGTTAGCCACGGATGAATTGCTTTCCCTGTGGTACTCTTATTCCGCAAAGGAATATGTGACCGCTCGCTGAGAATTTTGCACTACATCCTTAAATATTTGCCACTGTTGGTATACATTTTATCTCTTAATCTTATTCTCCAGTCTATTTTACCTAAATCTTTCCTCATACCTACAAAATTAGCCCTATTTAAGTTCAGAATACCTGCCTCAGATTTAACTATATCCCTCTCTAACTTAGCGCAGAATTCAATCATGTTGTGATCACTCTGCCCAAGAGGATTCTTAATACCTACACTGCCAACTCGCCCTGTTTCATTACACAAAACAAGGTCTTGGATGACCTGTCCTCTAGTTGGTTCCTCGGCATGCTGCTCCAGAAAGTTATCTCTCATACACTCAATGAGATTCATAGCATCAGTATAAACTTGAGGAGAAATTCTGGTTACGAATATTAAGTGTAGATGACATATAAATACAAGTTTGCATGCTCAAAGTCATTACGATTTCAATTTGCTTATATACTAGCGGCAACCATCATGAATTGATAATGTTGTTTGAATCAACTTCAGACTGTGTGCCCATTGAAGATTTTCTTTTGATGGGGAAAGAATGGGAAAGGAGGAAGGGACAGTGGTCTGAGCCAATAAAGGGCAAAACTAATAATAGTTTCACCAACTTGTTTATAATCTCTTCTCCCCTGCTCCATGTGTTTGGTTTACTTTTTACTCGTTGTACAAATGCTCTGAGACGCTACCCTGGGTGAGGGGCACTATATAATTTCAAGTTGTTGTTTTTGCTGTTCAGTTCCACAGGTGCCAGTCACCTCCAGTACCTCACTCACGTAGCTATTCTTTATGGGCAGACCTCGACTAAATGTCAGCTGAGTTTAAATAATAATAATCCTTGCATTTGATATAGCAGCTTATCACGTCTTCAAGATGTCTCAAAGTACTTCACAGCATATACTGTAAAGTGAATTGACTGTATATTTTGTGGTCAAAACGCAGCAGCCAATTGTGCACAGCAATGTCCCACAAACAGTCGTGGATTGAGTGACCAAATTTATTATTTGCTTAATAACCCAGAAAAGTGATATGCCAATTGACTGGGTTCCTATTTACTGCTCAGTAAACAGAGGCGTGTGGAGTAAGGAAACTTGAACAACATTTCGCCCTGCCGGGAATCGAACCCAGGTCCCTCGCTTGCGAGTCGAGTGTCCTAACCACTGAGCTACAGGACTCCACAGTTTCAATGCAAAGGGCATTTCAACCGAGCGCACTCCCAGTTCCGAAAGAAACATATTCAAAATTTTACACATACACACAACGTTTGTCCTCCCTAACTCATGACTGAGTCAAATTCTCATATCCTTGTCTCCTGAGCTGGCCGCAGTTAACAACAGGGAGCCAAGACCTTTCTGGTCTGTATAGATCACCTATTGACTACACAAATTCACTGACCATTGGGGAAGGTACAACTGAAATTGTGGCCCTGCTGGTTTCTTGCTTCACCAGAGGGAGCTCTAACATTTAGAAACAATTCACTAAAGAACAGAATGCCCTTTACTGTATATCCACTGCATTACACTACTCTCCTACACAAAGTTAGAAGCCGTAAATTAGAATGGGAAAGTGTTCATACTTTACTCAGTGTTCATATATCTCAGTCAAATAGTAGAACCTATTCTCTGAACTCCATATTCTATATTCACATCAACATTTTGTACCTATCCATAACAATAATTAGTACCTATTAGTCATTTCTTTGCCCAAATTGTGAATTGTGGACTAGATGTTAAACCAAGGTCCTCATATTTGGGCCTGTTCTCATGAACGTTGCAGATTCTATGGCACTATTGAAAAAGAGAAGTTTCTCCACGTGTCCTAACCAACAAAATACTCCACCGATTCAATACTCCACCGCCCGTATACTTGGTACTTTTCAGTTTTACCACTGCTCGTTGGTCTTGCCATTTGAATACGAAGCTTCATCATCCTAACCTAACACTCCATGCCTCAATCCATGAAATATACAGTCAGCCCACTTTACAATATGTAACTTGTGTCATTTGAGAGATGTAACTCACTACATCTTCTGAAACCCACCTGACAAACCATTTTTCATGACAGGATTACAACAAATTTGCACTTACATAGCACTTTTCATGCAACATTAATGTCTTCACACACCTCACAAGAGACAACATGAGCACAGAGAAAGAACGAGAGTAATAGAATTTAAGGACTTTTTTTAAAAATAAAGAAGCAGGACAGAGATTTTCAGAGATTGTTCCAGAGAGCAAGGAGTATAGATTAGCTGAAGGCTCAACAGTTAATGGGACAGAGAGAGTGAGAAACAATCACCATAAACAAATTTATAATAATAATAATCTTTGCATTTGATATATTGCCTTATCACATTGTTCAGACATCTCAAAGCGTTTCACAGAATATATCGTAAAGTGGATTGACGATGTATTTTGTAGGCAAAATGTGGTAGCCAGTAATAATATTAATGATAATAATTGCATTTTTTATACAGTGCCCTATCACGTCTTTGAGAGTCTCACAGAATATACTGTAAATTGACTGTATATTTTGTGGGCGAAACTCAGCAGCCGATTGCACACAGCAGTGTCCCACAAATAGTGAACCAAGCGTTACAGGAACAGAAAGTCAAAATACTCCAGAAGTGGATTTTAGAGGCCCATAACCCACTGTTCAGCAAAACGCCACTGGGGTTGGGGGGAGGGGTGGGAAACCTGATCATTTTAACTACAGAGACATTTTAAATCTTCAAATAATTGAATGATACGTGTCAAAGAAAAAAAAGTCATCCGAAGTCTCCCACAAATGTGCTTTCCCCTTAAAAACCACAAGCTACAAAAAGGGAAATGAGACAAAAATCAGTGACTTCTTCCTACAATGTGACTCCTTATCAATATAAACTGACTCAGTGAGTCAGCTGCCAATCCTCTCTTCTCCGCCCTCAACCCCATAGCATCAGAATGTCGGAATCGAGTCAGCCCTCTGTGGCGGGTCCTCAGTACTCGAGCGCACTGCTGGTGACAGCACTTGGCTCATCCGTAGGACCTGGAAGGGCAGACCAATCACTGGGGGCAGGGAATCCTCCCACGCAGCTCCTGTTAACCCTGCACGCCAAAGCCCTAACAGGTAGGGCGGTCCTCGCTGGACAAACAGCGGGAAAACTTCCCAGACGATGCTCTCGCTGGCAAGCTATACAGTTTTAGCTGGTTAGACTCCAGCAGTTACCCCAACGGACTCTGGGATTCCAAAGCCTCGTCTCTAGTCACCCTGCGACTAATACTTTCCGGAATTAGGTAAGCAGGATGAGTCCCTCCAGGGAGAGATCCTATCCTATCTCAGGGATTTCCATGTGTAGGTGGGATGCATGGAATTCTCAGTTTAGTTTGGATATGCCTAAGCATGGAGATGGCTTTCCGCATGTCAGACAGCTGACTGACAAAAAAAAGTAGTAAAGGCACATTCAGAAACAAAAACTTTAATCAGAAGGAAGAGATTTCAATCTGTAAATAATAGAAAACAGCTCTGTGGAAGAATGCATTTAACTTAATTTTAAATGCCAAACACAAACACTCCACACCTCGGGGCTGGAGACCAGAAATCAGCAGGTTAAAGCCCACTCACCAACAGTTTCTACCTCTTCTCCTCGCCCACCCCACACACACAGCAACAGCAGAAAAAGGGTTTGCTTTTCCTCCTACTTCCGCCACCCCACATCCTTCCACCACCCTCCTTTTGTCAAACCCCCTCAACCTCTCCTCCTCCCCTCAAGCCCTCCACCAGCCTCCTCTTCCTCCCTCACCTCTTCCTCTTTCAACTCTTCCTCCCTCAACAACAACAATAAAACTACATTTGTATAGCGCCGTTCACATCGGGAGGACGTCCCAAGGCGCTGGACAGACAGAGTTATGGACCCGAGCTGAGGGTCAGGGTGGGGGAGGGTGAAGGGCAGGGGGGGAAGCAGGGAGATCGAAACCAAGGTCGAAGAGGAGGGTCTTGAGATGGGTCTTGAAGGTGGCAAGGGAGGGGACAAGGTGGAGGCACTGCGGGATGGAGTTCCAGAGGGTGGGTGCAGAGTGGCAATAGAGGGGTGAGCGAGGCGGGGGATGTGAAGCAGGCTGGAGTCTGCTGAGCGGAGGGAGCGAACAGGGTGGTAGGGGGTTAGGAGGTTGCAGAGGTAGGGGGTAGCAAGACCGTGAAGGGCTTTGAAGGTGAGGACCAGGATCTGAACCTGTATCCTCTGTGTGATGGGAAGCCAGTGGAGATGGGCGAGGATGGGGGTGATAGGGTCGCGGAGCCTAAAGCGGGAGACACGGGTTGCAGAGATTTGGATGATCTACAGCCTGCGGAGGGAGGAGTTGGGGCGGCCGACAGTGAGTTTGCATAGTCAAGCCTCAATGTAATGATGTCACGTATGAGAGTCTCGGGGGCCTGCGGTGTGAGACAGCGGCGGAGTCGGGCGATGCTGTGGATGTGGGGGAAGACAGAGCGGGTCATGGCGCACATGTGGGGTAGAAAGGATAGTTGAGGGTCAAACAAGACCCCAAGTTTCCGGACTGGGTTAGTGAGGTGGAGTGGGCAGCCATGGATGGTGATGCTGTCAGCGTCTGAGGTGAGGAGGCGCTGACGGGAGCCGATCAGGAGAGCCTCGGTCTTGTTGACGTTCAACTGTAGAAAGTTATCTCTCATCCAGGACTTGATGTCTGACAGACATTATGTCAGAACAGCAGTGGTCCTGGAGCCAAGGGTGGAGGCAGAGAGGAGAGAGAAGGGGTGAGAGAGAGGTGGGAGAGAGAGGGGGGGAGATAGAAAGGGGGGAGGGAGGGTTGAGAGGGGGGGGGAAGAGAAGGGGGAGAGAGAGAGTGAGAGGGAGGGAGGGAAAGGGGGAAGAGAGAGGGGAGGGGGAGAGAGAGAGGGGGAGGGAGGGGGGAAGAGAGGGGGGGAGGGGGGAGAGAGAGAGGGGGAGGAGGGGAGAGAGAGGTGGAGAGAGGGGGGGGAAGGAGAGAGGAGGGAGGGAGGGGGGAGAGAGAGAGGGGGAGGGAGAGAAGGGAGAGAGGAGGAGGAGGGAGGGAGGGGGGAGGGAGGGAGGGAGGGGAGAGAGAAAGAGGAGGGAGGAGGGAGAGAGAGGGGGGAGGGACAGGGGAGAGAGGAGGAGGGAGGGGGGGGAGAGAGAGGGGAGAGGGAGAGAGTGGGGCGCGAGGGGGGGGGGGAGAGAGGAGGGGAGGGAGGGGAGGGGAGAGGGGAGAGAGAGAGGGGGGGGAGGAGAGGGGGGAGAGAGGGGAGGGAGAAGGCGCCTGTCCCCGAGATTCACGGTGTTAATGGGGGGGCCGCCCGCGGGGAGAGAGTGTCTGTGAAGGGGGGAGGCGGCCCTACCAGTAAAGCGATGGCGAATATGGACCAGCCCAGCACCGACTCCGTCAGCACCGCCGCCATTGTCACTCCCCAAAACACAGCGTCAGCGGGACCCGGCGTCCTTACGTCACGACGTACGCCACGCGCCGGGGTGGCGGGGAGGTCACGAGCCGCTCAGAGCAATGGCTGCTCATCACGTGAGCAGATCTCCTCACCACACGCTCGGTGTGTCGGTTGGGGGAGGGGGCGGGGCCTGTGTTGAGTGGGGAGGGGCCTGAGTTGTGGGCGGGCTGAGTTGTGGTGGGCGGGGCTGAGTTGTGGTGGGGGGCAGAGTTGGGGTGGGGGGGGGCTGAGTTGGGGGAGGGGGGCTGAGTTGTGGTGGGGGGGGCTGAGTTGGGGTGGGGGGGCTGAGTTGGGGGGGAGGGGGGCTGAGTTGTGGTGGGGGGGCTGAGTTGTGGTGGGGGGGCTGAGTTGGGGTGGGGGGGGCTGAGTTGGGTGGGGGGGTGAGTTGGGGTGGGGGGGGCTGAGTTGGGGTGGGGGGGCTGAGTTGGGGTGGGGCTGAGTTGGGGTGGGGGGGCTAAGTTGGGGTGGGGGGGCTGAGTTGTGGGGGGCTGAGTTGGGTGGGGCTGAGTTGGGGTGGGGGGGGCTGAGTTGTGGTGGGCGGGGCTGAGTTGTGGGGGGGGCTGAGTTGGGGTGGGGGGGCAGAGTTGGGGTGGGGTGGCTGAGTTGGGGTGGGGGGCTGAGTTGGGGTGGGGGGGCTGAGTTGGGGTGGGGGGGCAGAGTTGTGGTGGGGGGCTGAGTTGGGTGGGGGGGGGCTGAGTTGTGGTGGGGGGGCTGAGTTGGGTGGGGGGAGGGGGGCTGAGTTGTGGTGGGGGGGGCTGAGTTGGGTGGGGGAGGGGGGCTGAGTTGGGTGGGGGGGGGGGCTGAGTTGGGTGGGAGGGGGCTGAGTTGGGGTGGGGGGGCTGAGTTGGGGTGGGGGGGCTGAGTTGGGGTGGGGGGGGCTGAGTTGGGGTGGGGGGGCTGAGTTGGGGTGGGGGGGCTGAGTTGGGGTGGGGGGGCTGAGTTGGGGTGGGGGGGGCTGAGTTGTGGTGGGGGGGGCTGAGTTGGGGTGGGGGGGCTGAGTTGGTGGGGGGGGCTGAGTTGGGTGGGGGGGCTGAGTTGGGGTGGGGGGGGCTGAGTTGTGGTGGGGGGGCTGATTTGGGGTGGGGGGGGCTGAGTTGTGGTGGGGGGCTGAGTTGTGGTGGGGGAGGCTGAGTTGTGGTGGGGGGCTGAGTTTGGGGTGGGGGGGCTGAGTTGGGGTGGGGGGGCTGAGTTGGGGTGGGGGCTGAGTTGTGGTGGGGGGGCCTGAGTTGGGGGGGAGGGCTGAGTTGGGGTGGGGGGGCTGAGTTGGGGTGGGGGGGGCTGAGGTGGGGTGGGGGGGCTGAGTTGTGGTGGGGGGGCTGAGTTGTGGTGGGGGGGGCTGAGTTGGTGGGGGGGGGCTGAGTTGTGGTGGGGGGGGCTGAGTTGGGTGGGGGGGGCTGAGTTGGGTGGGGGGGGGCTGAGTCGGGGTGGGGGGGGCTGAGTTGGGGTGGGGGGGGCTGAGTTGGGTGGGGGGGGGGTGAGTTGGGTGGGGGGGGCTGAGTTGGGTGGGGGGGGGCTGAGTCGGGTGGGGGGGCTGAGTTGGGGTGGGGGTGGGGCTGAGTTGGGTGGGGGGGGCTGAGTTCGGGTGGGGGGGGCTGAGTTGGGGTGGTGGGGGCTGAGGTGGGGTGGGGGGCTGAGTTGTGGTGGGGGGGCTGAGTTGTGGTGGGGGGGGCTGAGTTGGGTGGGGGGGGCTGAGTTGTGGTGGGGGGGGGCTGAGTTGGGTGGGGGGGGGCTGAGTTGGGTGGGGGGGCTGAGTCGGGTTGGGGGGGGCTGAGTTGGGGTGGGGGGGCTGAGTTGTGGTGGGGGGGGCTGAGTTGGGTGGGGGGGGCTGAGTTGGGTGGGGGGGGGCTGAGTCGGGGTGGGGGGCTGAGTTGGGGTGGGGTGGGCTGAGTTGGGTGGGGCTGTTGGTGGGGGGCTGAGTTCGGGTGGGGGGGGCTGAGTTGGGGTGGTGGGGGGCTGAGTTGGGGAGTTTTTGTTTTGCATTTCAAAACGTCTGCCGGTTCAGCCGGACGTCAAAAACCCAACAATACTATTTGAAAAGAGAAGGGACTTTCTCCCATTATCCAACAATCTCCCCGACTAATCTCCCCCTCCCCCCCCCCCACCCCCCCATAAAAATCATTCATTCACTTCATGGCTGTTAGTTTTAGCTCTCCTGCCCTACGTCAGAGCGCTATATAAATGCGCATTGCTCGCGGGACGTTGCTCTTTGCATATCGGTTCTGTATTTGCCTATAAAATACAAAGTCGCGGCGCTTCACGGTTAAAAACCTGCGCTTTGGACTTTGCTCCGACAAGTATTTATTACTGCTGGATGCATGGAACCAAAAGTCGACGGAAATACCAATTGTGTGATTCAATGTAATGTACGTAATCTTATTATTTATAATAATTTGATATCTGGTGGGCTGGTGCAGACCTCAGCTGGGCCAAGACCCTATTAGTGATATTCTAATTCGGATACCTGTGGCAGCACATCGGTCTCCCTGGTGCCAGGATTCTCCCCACTCAGCTCCTGTTAACCCTGAAAGCCAAAACCTTAGTCGGTAGCTTGAAGAGCAGCAGGAAGCATATAGTGTTTTCAATGACACGTTATGGGGGCCCCAAGCCTTGGGTATCCCCAAGTTTGGATACTTTTACGAAATACTGGATGGGTTTTTGCATGTGTCAGACACTCAGCTGACAAACAGAAAGTATGACCTGCAACTGTGGTGCTCATCCTATCCCTGGGGATATCTGGACAGCAATGTTGTTGCACCAACGCTCCATGCTGCAGGTTGCAATCTGAGTTTCTTACACATAGCGTTTACGATCTCCAATGAGCAACTGGAAGAGGCTAAGAGACAATGGCAAGTGAAGGCATCCTTTATTGCCCGGGAAAAAAGGTAGCAGCCTGGCTCAGTTGGTAGCAATCTCCACTGAGTCAGAGGGTGTGGCATTCAAGCTCCACATCGGGACATTGAACTCAAAAGGGTGACACTCCAGTGCTAGGGGAGTGCTGCATTGCTGGAGGTGCCATCCTTCGGATGAGAAATTGATCCAAAGTCCTGTCTGTCCTGTTCAAGAGGATGTGAAAAACCCATGGGACCATTCAAAAGAGAAGGAATTTTCTCCCAATAATCATAGAAGCAGCATGAATTTTCTCCCAATAATCATAGCTACAGCATAGAAGCAGGCCATTTAGCTCTTTGAAAACTATCCAATCCCCCAGATAAAATTTGGTCATTCAATTCCCGACTCTTTGGCTGTGGCACAGAATTGCTTCAATACATTACAAAATTAAATTTATATAGCGTTTTTCACATCGGGAGGGTGTCTCAAGGGGTCGGATAGTCAGGGATTTGGACCAGCCCTGGGAGGGTTGAAATCAGGACGGGTGGAGGGCAGGGAGGGTAGGAGGGAGGTCAAAGGCATGGTGGAAGAGGAGGGTCTTGAGATGTTGCCTTGAAGGAGCAAGGGAGGGAGCGAGGTGAAGGGGATGTGGGGACTGGGTTAGTGAGGTGGAGTGGGCAGCCATGGATGGTGATGCTGTCAGCGTCTGAGGTGAGGAGGCGCTGACGGGAGCCGATCAGGAGAGCCTCGGTCTTGTTGACGTTCAACTGTAGAAAGTTATCTCATCCAGGACTTGATGTTGACAGACATTAATGTCAGAACAGCAGTGGTCCTGGAGCCAAGGGGGAGGCAGAGAGGAGAGAGAAGGGGAGAGAGGAGGTGGAGAGAGAGGGGGAGAGATAGAAAGGGGGGGGGAGAGAGGGGGAGGGAGGGTTGAGAGGGGAAGAGAAGGGGGAGAGAGAGAGTGAGAGGGAGGGAGGGAAAGGGGGAAGAGAGAGGGGAGGGGGAGAGAGAGAGGGGGAGGGAGGGGGGAAGAGAGGGGGGGAGGGGGGAGAGAGAGAGGGGGAGGAGGGGAGAGAGAGGTGGAGAGAGGGGGGGGAAGGAGGAGGAGGGAGGGAGGGAGGAGGAGGAGGGGGAGGGAGAGAAGGGAGAGAGGAGGAGGAGGGAGGGAGGGGGGAGGGAGGGAGGGAGGGGAGAGAGAAAGAGGAGGGAGGAGGGAGAGAGAGGGGGGAGGGACAGGGGAGAGAGGAGGAGGGAGGGGGGGGAGAGAGAGGGGAGAGGGAGAGAGTGGGGCGCGAGGGGGGGGGGGAGAGAGGAGGGGAGGGAGGGGAGGGGAGAGGGGAGAGAGAGAGGGGGGGGAGGAGAGGGGGGAGAGAGGGGAGGGAGAAGGCGCCTGTCCCCGAGATTCACGGTGTTAATGGGGGGGCCGCCCGCGGGGAGAGAGTGTCTGTGAAGGGGGGGAGGCGGCCCTACCAGTAAAGCGATGGCGAATATGGACCAGCCCAGCACCGACTCCGTCAGCCACCGCCGCCATTGTCACTCCCCAAAACACAGCGTCAGCGGGACCGGCGTTCCTTACGTCACGACGTACGCCACGCGCCGGCGGTGGCGGGAGGTCACGAGCCGCTCAGAGCAATGGCTGCTCATCACGTGAGCAGATCTCCTCACCACACGCTCGGTGTGTCGGTTGGGGGAGGGGGCGGGGCCTGTGTTGAGTGGGGAGGGGCCTGAGTTGTGGGCGGGCTGAGTTGTGGTGGGCGGGGCTGAGTTGTGGTGGGGGGCAGAGTTGTGTGGGGGGGGGCTGGTTGGGGGGAGGGGGGCTGATTGTGGGGGGGGGCTGAGTTGGGGTGGGGCTGAGTTGGGGGGAGGGGGCTGAGTTGTGGTGGGGGGGCTGAGTTGTGGTGGGGGGGCTGAGTTGGGGTGGGGGGGGCTGAGTTGGGTGGGGGGTGAGTTTGGGGGGGGGCTGAGTTGGGGTGGGGGGGCTGAGTTGGGGTGGGGCTGAGTTGGGGTGGGGGGGCTAAGTTGGGTGGGGGGGCTGAGTTGTGGGGGGCTGAGTTGGGTGGGGCTGAGTTGGGGTGGGGGGGGCTGTTGTGGTGGGCGGGGCTGAGTTGTGGGCGGGGCTGGTTGGGGTGGGGGGGCAGAGTTGG